CTCGGCCAGCTGGCAGGGAGCCCCCCCGCTGCCGTCCCCGTCCCCCCTCCGGTTTACCAGGGCGGATTAGGACGGGGCACGGCCTCTCGCGTTCCTGCCTCACTCCCTCCCCAGCCTCCCCCTCTTGCTGCTGTTTGACCATCCCTGCCTTTGCTCTGCTCTCTGAGCACAAGGCCTGGGCTGAGCCCCATCTCCTCATCCCCCTGCCCAAGATGGGACCAGTGCCACAAATTGGTCCTGGCCTCCCTGAGATGGGAGCCCCAGCATCCCAGCTCCTGGTTTTCCTGGATCTTGAGGTAGCTGGGCTCCATGTGGCATCTTGGGGCATGCACGGGTGAGGGATGCCTGTGCATGTCCTCCCTGCTCCAGTGGAGCTCAGAAGCCCCCAGCATCCTGCAAACCTCCCCCAGGAGCAGAGCCTGCGGGTGGGCTGCCGGGCCGGGAAGTCTTGGCTGGAGGCAGCGAGACGCTGGAGCTGCTTGGCTTGGGTCGGCTCCCACCGCGCTGGGACCTGCAGGGCACAGCCATGAGGAGCGGTGGTGGCTGGGAACGGCTTTGCTTGGGGCTGGGGTCCGGCTGAGCCAGGACCACCCAGGGAGGCTGGGGGCAGGTCCTGGCCGTGGCAGCCCCCAGCAAGGGGCCGTATGTGTGTCCCTGCCCCCAGGAGCTGTGCTTATGGTGGGGCAGCAGCCGAGGGCTGTGGGTCCTGCTGGGGCTCAGGGCGGGGGGCAGGACCCCCCCGACTTCTCCCTCCAGCCCTGAGTCACAGCGCGGCTGCCCTGAGTCACTTCCCCTCCAGATAAGTGGGGACAATGGTGCCCCTTGTCCCCCCCACGTCCCTCAGGTGTTGGGGTGGGGGGCAGGAATTAGGGGGGCAGATTCCATTGTGCCAGGCTGCAGAAAGTCAGGAGGAGACATCCTCCCTTCTCCGTGCCCTTGCCTTCGCACCCAGCGGGCTGCACTTCCCCAGGGTGATGTGGATGCCGCTGGCATCCCCAGCCCAGCGTTCCCGGGGGCAGCAGACACCCCACTGCACCCCTCTGGGGGCTCTTCTGCGGCTGAGCGACGCCGTCCCCCCACCTGCAGCATCTGGCTGACTCAGCCGGAGCGATGCCGCCGGCGGTGCCCGTCATCACCGGCCAGGCAGACGCGGCGGGGGCCTCGGCGTGCCGAGGCGGGGGCTGCCTGGGGCCCCACATTCCTCCTGAGCCTGGGCTTTGAGTCAGCCGCCCCGGCGCTGCCCGGACGTGCCCACGCTCCCGGCCTCGCATTGCTCAGCTCTGCCCAGCGCAGCCTCCTGGGAGCTCCCTTCCCAGTGGTGGTGGTGGCAGTGGGATGGGGACGGCCAGACTTGCCCCTGTCCTTGCCGGTGGCTGGGCTGGCCACGCTGAGGACTGGCCAGCTCATTACCCCAGTGCCCTATGATAAGGTCTGGGGGCTGTGGCAGCTACCTGGGTGCCTTGGCCTCCCCGGCAGCTTGCCTCCGTCCTGCCTGCGAGGGGGGACGCGCTTCCTCTGCTGGCACGGTGTGACCGTGCCTCCTCCACGCCATTGTCCTCGCGATCCTGAAGGACTTCCCGGCGGAAAGGCTGGCCTTTCCGGAGCCCCCCGGGCACGCCGGGTCCTCCTGCCGTCCCCCTGACCTGCGGCAGGGCTGCGGATCCTGTGCCCTGCTGCTACCTGGGGGTCCCCAGTCTCTTCCCTGCTGGGGAGCTGCTTGTCTTTGGCATCACCTTAAAGCCCCTGGGGGATGAGCACACGTGGAGCTGGGCTGCGGGTGCTGCATCTCGAGCCCGGGCACCCCTCCAGGCATGCCAAAGGCCTCCCCTCTGCGTGGCACCACCGTGACTCAGCTGGGACATCTCAGCCCCTCCAGGGGCCTGAGTCACCCCCGGAAGGGTGCTGCCTCCCCCGGGACCCCCGGGGCTGCCCGGCGGAGGGGAGGCAAGCCCAGACCCCTCCTGGGAAGAGGGATACACGTGTACCCCTCCCGGAGCTGGTCCCAGCTCACCCTCCCCACTGCTGGGGGGTTTCCCCCCTCGCCGCGACGCCCGGTTCTTGCGGCATTCCCTGGCATGGCAGCGGGAGGCGGCGAGCCTGTCAGACACGCTGCAGCTGTGCCGCGGAGGCCCTGGCCTCGCCGCTGGCTCAAAGGTTGGCCTGGAAGGGCTGCGGCTGTTTACACAGGCATGGGGGCCCCGGCGCTGGCGGCAGCTGAGTTGTGCCGAGCGGCTCCCCGCTTTGCTTTCCCTGCTGGTACGGCGACCCCCTGTTCCTGCACCCACCGCGCACCGGGATGGGGGGCTCAGCCGTGAGCCCAGGCTGGGATCGGGTCCTGCAAGGAGGGGGCAAGGAGCGTGTCTGTCAGTCTGTCCCTTTGCTGTCCCGTGAGACCTGTCAGCATGCTTGTGCACCCACATGCCGGGGGCGAGAGGCTGGTTGCTGCCAGCCCCCTGTGTGCCCATCCAAGGGGAACCCCAACTCCTGCTCTGGAGATGGGGCTGGGGGTCTGCCGCCCCCCGTTATTTGGGGGTGTCAGGGTGTGACATGGACTGGGGAAGCAGCTCCTGTCCCCTCCGAGCACCTCCTGGCCGCTGTCACACCCCACCACCCTCTCTCCAGGGCAGCCTGCCTGGCTTTGCACCCCCAAAATGAGGCAGAGGGCATTGGGGTGAGTGAACCCACTGCCCCCCCCATTTCCCACCCGCCCCCCCCTTCTCTGCCCCCCAGGCTGCTGGTGGGGGCCCCCCGCGATGTGGAGCCGACGAACAGCACGCGGACGGGCGCCGTCTATGCCTGCCCCCTCACCGTCTCCACAAGCGACTGCCAGCGGCTCGACATCGAGTTGAAGAGTACGTGAGCACCCCAGGGCACCCCAAAACGCCCCCCCCGGCACGTGGGGGGTCCCCGCTCTCACACGGTCTCTTCCTCGCCCAGGTGAGCCGGAAAAGGCCATCATCGATGACATGTGGCTGGGGGGGACGGGGGGCAGCCAGCGGCAGGCGGGGGGGGGGGGGGGGGGGCGGCAGCCGGCGGGGAGGGTACTGGTGAGTGCACGTGCACCCTGATTCTTCGCACACGCACCCCCTTCTTTGCACGCGTGTGCCAGTTGTGAGCTGCCGCCTTGCACGACTGCACGAGGGCACCAGCGAGCTGCTGATGCTTTCACGTGTGCCTTGCACGTGTCCCCAGCGCGGTGGCACCAGGCAGAGGCACTGCGGGCGCTCCTCCGTCACCTCCCTCTCTCCCTGGCCTCTGGGGCAGGGAGCGGTGGGGTGACAGGGTACTTGGACCCCTCTCCTGGTAGCGTGTACTGGTGTGGAGGGACTGAAGCTCTCGGGAGTGTCGCAGATGCTCTCAGGACCATCTTGGGAGCATCTCAGATGCTCTCGGGAGCTCTCAGGTGGCAGAACAGCGTCATACTCTATAGCACATCATAGCCAGGATAACACTGGGACGTATGGGCTGCGCTAACGGTGGGGCAGCAGCTGTGTACGCGGCCTGACGCCGGGATCGGGGCAGAGGCAGCGCGTGGGGCGGGGGG